TATGAGTTGCAAAAACATTATCAAATATTGATTTATGAACTTGGAAGTTTATTTGGTGTTACTGAGTCTGAACACATGGCCAGAGAATGGAGCACAAGGTACTTGTTTGCATGCCATGACTAATAGAAAACTTTCCTAAGATATCGCAAGACCATGCTTTCTAAAATGCTACAAGAGTTGGTATAAATGGTATCACTGAGCTTTAACCTATCCAAAGCCAAGTATGAATGTCTTTCCAAAATGCTTTTTAATAAAACAAATAAGGTTTCAATTGTAAAAATTTATCCAATTTCTTTCCAAACTTTTGATCCATGCTACAATGGGACTATAAATCTATCTCAAATAAAACTCCAAAGAGCTTTAAAAAATAAATAAATAAATAAAATAAAGTACACCGTCTGAGGTACATGTCTGGCATAACTATAAGATATATATGGTGTTTCTCCAAAAAATATACACAAGACTATCTTATTTTTTAATAAAAAAAATTGTATTTTATCAACTGAAAACATTTTTCTCTTTGTATGACAACATTATGAAAATCAAAAAGCAAGCCACAAAGTAGGAGGAAATATTTGTAATACGTAGATCTGACAAAGGACTTTATTCAGAATACATAAAGATATATCACAACTCAATAATGAGACAAACAAGCTACTTAATAAATGAGGAAAAGATCTGAAAAGACACAAGGCTATCTTATAGAAAATCTGGTCAAGAAAATTACCCATGATACAAGTACCCTGAAACAGTAACTGTCATATTTGAACAATTCCTTTCAATTTTTTTGGTAGTTCCTACTATGAAATAATAGCACAAAGAAGTCCTATATATGCTTCACTCAGAGTCTATAACCTTTGACATTTTCCATGTTCTCTGTGTATATACAGAGAGTATTACTTTTTGCCTGAACCATTAAAGTTGCATATATAATACTCCTTTACTCCTAAATATTTCCTAAAAACAAGGCCATTCTCTAATACAACTACACTATAATTATCAAAACCAGGAAATTAACATTGATACAGAATTATGATCTAATGTTCAGAGCTTATTTGCATGTTGTCAATTATCCAAATACTCCCTATTACAAAAAAAAAAAAAAAAAAAATCCCTCTGGTTCACGCCCAATCCAGGATCACATATTGCATTAAACTGTCATAGCTCTTTAGCCTCCTTTAATCTATAACAGTTCCTCAGGCTGTCATTCATTGTCTGTTATAACCCTGACATATTTAAAGAGTCTAGGCCAGTTATTTTATACAATGTCCCTCTGCACATTTAGATTTGCCTGATGCTTACCCACGATTACACGCAGGTCATGCATTTTTGGCAGGAATCCACAAAAGAGATTATGTTCTTCTCAATAAAGAGACATGTCAGTTTGTCCCATTATTCATGATGTAAACTTTGATGACCTAAGATGGTGTCTGCCAGGTTTTTTATTGCAAAGTTTCTACTCTTATCTTAGTAATTGTTAGCATTTTTTGAAGAGATACTTTGAGATTACGTAAATATACCAATCACCAAACTTTCACCCCATAGTTTTAACATTCATTATGATTCTTGGCTGAATCAATTGTTTGACAGATGGTGATTTTCTAACTATATAATCCTTCTACATTTATTAGTTGGCATTCAACTTTAGGAAAGCACCTTTTCCTTCTTCCTTGTTAGTGGGGATTCGCTGATTCCTATTTTCTTCGGTAGGTTATGATCCATTATTATCACTTTATTTTGATGCTCAAATTGTCTCAAATTTGGTTGCTGAGAGCCCCTTGAATTTGATTCCTGTATCACTTTAACATGTCCCCATCACTTTCTGAGCTATTGCTTACTTTCTACAACAAGGTGCTCCCGGTTCATCTTTTTAAAATTGTCATCAGGGTATTTAAAATGAGATCTACCTTCCTAACAAAATGTAGTATTAACTATAGACATGATATTATACAGCAGATCTCGAGAATTTCTTCATCTCACATAAATGTAACTTTATACTCGCTGAATAACAATGGCATCTCTCCCTTCCCATGACCCCTGGCAACCACTATTCTATTCTGTTTCTATGAGTTTTAACTTTTTTAGATACTTTATGTAAGTAAAATCATGCAGTATTTGTCGTTCTGTGACTAGCTTATCTCATTTAGCATAATGTCTTCAAGGTTCATCTCTGTTGTTACATATGAGAGCTATTTCCTTCTTTTTAAAGATTCAGTAATAGTCCATTTTATGTATATACCACGTTTTCCTTATCTTTTCATCTGTAGATATTTAGGTTATTCCCACATCTTGGCTATTGTAAATAGTGCTGCAATGAACACGAGAGTGCAAATATCTCTTCTGTATCCTGATTTCAATTCTTTTGGATAAATTCCCAGAAGTAGAATTGCTGGGTAATATGACAGTTCTATTTTTAATTTTGTGAGGAATCCCCATATTGTTTTCCATAGGGGCTATACCATTTTACTTTCCCACTGACAGTGTACAAGAGTTCCAATTCTTCCAAATCCTTGCCAATACTTTTAATTTTTTTAGCAAGTCATCCTAACAGGGGTTAGGTAATAGCTCATTGTGGGTTTAATTTGCATTTCCTTGATGATTAGTGATGTTTAGCATCTTTTCCTATACCTGTTGGCCATCCACACGTCTTCTTTGTAGAAATGTCTATTCAAATCCTTTTTTCATTTTTTAAACAAGTTATTTGTGGTTCTGCTTTTGAGTTATAGAAAGTCCTTATATTTATTTTAGATATTATTTATCAGATACATGGCTTGGAAATGTTTTCACCCATTCTGTAGATTGCCTTTTCACTCCTCCATCACTCATTTCCTATGCTGTACAGAAGCTTATTAGTTTGATGTAACCACACTCTTCTTTTTTTTTTGAAACGGAGTTTCGCTCCTGTTACCAAGGCTGGAGTGCAATGGCGTGATCTCGGCTCACCGCAACCTCTGCCTCCTGGGCTCAGGCAATTCTCCTGCCTCAGCCTCCCGAGTAGTCTACACTCTTCTTGTGATTCCCCTGCTCAGCCCTGGAATTGGTCATTTTTCCAAGAAGCCATGACTCCTTAGGGGACAGTGGTACTTGGAAACCAAGATCTAGATACTAGATGTGTTCTTTGCTATTGGGGCTTCCAATCATTTTTCATATGCATTTTTTACTTAGTCATAATAACTAGATATTTGCAATTTCGAATCTTGTGTTTTCTACTTTTAAATCTTTTTCATATTCAAAATTTTTTTTTTTTTTTTTTTTTTTTTTTTTTGAGGGAGTGTCTTGTTTTTTTGCCGGGTTGGGGTACATGGGCGGGGTCTGGGGTCCCCCCAACCCCCGCCCCCGG